AATTTACTGAGACTAACAAGAAACTTTCTTTACCTTTCTCTTTTAACTGAGGTACATTGAATCATTAGTAGAGGGATGTGTTTTGCTATTTCAGATATATCTAGTGTCTAAATGCATACAAAAGAGAATAGTGGGCTGACTCATCAAATTAAAATTTACTATTTTTGCTAGGGTTTATAATATATGAGAATAACAAAATGATGGTAACGGGTATCGAAATATATAATACTATCAAGGGAGTTCAACCAAAGAGAGCTTTCTGGAAGGAATGAAGCCACAACTAGTTAGCAAAGAAAAGAAAATAACACACATATAATAACTTACATGACGTGTGTTATATGCTGGCCATTACATGTGATCATTACTTTACATGTAATAACGGATTTAGTTTTTAAAACAACCCTATGAGGTGAGTGCTATTATTAACCCCACTTTACAAACAAAGAAACCAAAGCAAAGAGAGTAAGTGACTTGTCCCGGGTCACACAGCTAATTAGTGGTGGAGTTTCAATACCAGGTAGTGTGGTGCCTCAGTTAATGCTGGGGAGTGGGAGGAGGGGTGTGTCAGCAGGTGGAACATGGGATTATGTGAACTATGTCTCCAGCTGCTGACAGCAGAGGGCTGTATCTCAGCACTTCACACCTGGTAGTCCCTACCAAGTTCCCGAGACTCTGTCCCTTTCCTAAAGTTGCAGAGCAGAGGTGACTGATATCTCTCTAGCCCCACGAATGGCCAAGCCCTTCTTGAGTTAAACCAGCTTCTGTCAATGTTCTAAGTTCTGTGTAATGCCTCATTGCTCACCTGCTCTCAGGCAAGGGACCTGCCAGAACCCTGTGCAACTCTAGGTTCAGCATAGAAACATAACATGAACACGATTTCTACCAGTAGTAATAGGGAGTGAATTTCCATTACATAAAGAGTTGAAAGTTGTTTTTTTTTTTAAATTTCTTAGGAATGAGGGTACTTCAAGAACCTATGAATTATTATGCAAGTTATTTGGGAGGGTCAGTCAATTAAGCGATTTTAATTTTGGCTTCTAATTATTCGGTAGCAGAGGTTAAAAATCTGGGGAAATTGTAAGGGAGAACCTCCCCAGTGGGTCGGTACCACCTGAGCTGGGCCCCAAGACCATATGTTCCCCTCTTTTTAAGGGTTTCCAGCCCTCACTGCAGTCCCTAGGTCCCTGTATCTTTCAGCCAGCCTGTTTTTTTCAGTCTGTTTTTCCCACAAAACCACTCAACCTTGGGCTTCTCTGGTTCTTTCACAGGGTGTTGAAGGAAGTTGTAGCTGCAGGAGAGGGTCAGAGGTTTGTAAATGCACCTTGTTCTTGCCTGCGGAGAAATGAGGATTGAGGAAGGGTTCTTGAAGAGCTACTGGGAATAGAAAAAGAAGGACAGATGGGAGAAGTGGAAGGAGGGGAGGGGAGGAGAGAGATGATATCCATCAAATGTACGTACATCATCTCATTTGTTATTAAAACCACTCCTATGTTATGGTATTATTCCAGTTGTACAGCTGGTGAAATAGGTTCTGAGAGTCAAGTACTTGTTCAAGGTCACAAGGTGTTAAACAGCACAGGTGGGATCCGAATCAAGCCTTCCCATATACCCGCAGCTCTCGTGTCCTGTGTCCTGGTTGGTATGACTGGGCACCACAGCCACAGCTGAGGTGGGCTTCAAGGTTTATGCCGAGAGAACCAGGAGGATGTAAGAAACAGGAGAAGGCGAGAGGTGGCTGTTGCTGGGGGCTGAGCAGTGGGTTATTTCAGAATCTATCGAGCTGGGTGGGAGGACAGGATTGGAATGATGGAGTTGGTGACATCCGGTTGAAGGTAATGGTATAAAGCCAGTAGTGAGTGCATTCTGAGGATGACTGAAGAGAGGGCTAATTTGGGCTGAGGGGGCTGAATCCAGGAGCCACAGCAAATCCTCTCGAACTCTCATAACTCTTTTAGATCATGTAGCCTGTTTTTTTTTCTAGCCTTCTGGTGGTTTGCCTGAGTAGCACATATGGAAACATATTACAGACAAAGACATTAAAGGGGGAATGAAATGACTTGCATAAAGTCATCAGATTCACTTGTGGTAAGCTTTTAAAAAATGAAAAATAGCTGTTTCCCTGACTCTTCTACTTTCAGTAAAGCTTTTTCCAGCTCCCTGAAAAGCAGGCCACACCCGGTAAAACAGCCTGTTTGTGGCATTAGTTCATTTCCATTTTTATACTTCTAAAGCACAGGAACAGTTAAACTACCCAGTGAAAAAGGATGCCCACTGTTTTCCTCTGTAGAAATAATCAGTTCAAACGAAATGTCAGTCTGGTCTGTGAATTTTTATGTTCAATTTTAATCACTCAAACAGATCTTGAAGCATCCTGACTTAAAAGATATTTTTGAATCATGTATATTAAACATTTTTTAAATAGGTAAGTGATTTTTAATCAGATAGTTTCAGTTGTAAAGACTTTCTAGAATACTAAGGGAATTAACCAAATTAATGCATATTTCCAAAGAATTTCTAGAATTATAAAGAAAATGCCATATAATTACATATCTAGCTGGAGTATTTTGACTAGATTTTTTTCTGTGTTATTGCCCTTATGTACTATTATGAGGGTGTTCATACAAAGATGACCATTTAAAAAAGTCAATAAATAAATTAGGAAACTGAACAATCTCATTTATGGAAAAAAAAAGCAAATTCTAATTATTTTCCAAGGCAGACTTCTTTTCCTAATGAAAGACCCAATTTTAATTTTGTATGAGATCATCCTAGATAAGAATCGCTTTGTAAAGTGTGTATTAAATGCATCAAAAATTCCTACAGAAAATAGAATATTAAAACATGCCATTTATAAAGTATTATGTCACTTTCATTGTAGTAAAACAGCTTCCAACGGGTAGCAAGTTTAACTGGATTTTTTTTTTTTTGAGCTTAGGTTTCATTTCTTATTTGAGAGAGTTGCATAGTAATTTTTATCACGCGTCATGAGAAATACTATTTGTTAGAACAAAGACTGTTGTGTAAGTCTAATTACATCTTCCTGTATGGTTAAATGAGGGCTGTATTGGAGCTTTTTTCAGCAGTAGCAGCTGTAGCCAACCAAGTTCAGCCTGTAAAAGCATTCCTGTGACTAACTGGTACTAATTGTTTGCAGAGCAACCAGTGGGAGTAATGTTCAGGAATACTATGGAAATGAAATATTCCAAGTCCAAATGGTTTATCCCTTGTTTTCACTGCTCTATTGTGGTTGGATTATTTGTAGAATCAGGCCAAGTGAAGTGGGAACTGTTAGTCTTTTGTTGTTGTTGGACGATAATTTATTGGGTTGTCGGAAGAGTCATGACACATTTTTGCAACAAAAAGCATAGAAAAAATACGTCATGACTTTTCCGACAACCCAATAGCATTCACCTATTCAGGCCTCTCATCTTATAAATAGGAAAAGGAAGGATTAGGGAGCGGCGGAAGGTCTATTTAAGTTACTGATCTTCAAAGTTTTTTGCTCGTACACTCCTATTTTTAAGCATACCCTATAATACATGTGAGTATATTAATTTATAAGTGATATACCTTAATGTAATTTAAAATATATTAATTCTCAAAGTAAGTATCAATATTGAAAAACATAAATACGCAAACTAAATTTTTAATGAATGAGAGAAAAGAAGGAAATAGTTTAATATTTTCTTCCCATACCCTAAAGATTATGGTGTGTGTACCTCACGTTGGAGACCACTGTTTTACGTCATTCAGGGGAAAAAAGGAAAGGAAAAACTTGCCGTTGAGGAGAATCTGTAGAAGAAGTTTTAAGATTTGGGGCGTTGGGAAAGGAAGGGTCTGGGAAGCTTATTCACTGTGGGTACCTAGGTTAATCAGAATTACTGTTACTATTACTTTCTCTTCTATTTTAGTTCCTTTATAGATGAGTTTGTTTAGACAAGGAGCGGCACAACTCTTACAGCGTATTAAATAGGAAAAAAAAATAACTCGAAGAAGTTGGTCAAGGAGGTGTAAAAGTCAGAACTCCTTCAGAGTGAGAGAAATTCAACAAAAACTAAATGTCACAAAAGTCAGTTTGTTAGCTTTAATAAAAGTGTACCTGGGATCTCCTGGGATGACTGTGGCCCTTAGGCGTAGTTGGATCCAGAAGCTCAAATGATGTCACACAGTTCTGTGGATACTGTTTTTCTCAACTACTAGTGATGAGCCCTCTCTCCACGTAGTGGGGAACATGGCTGCCAACAGCCCCAACTTCCTATCAGCCTTGGTTAGCAGCTGCAATGAGAGTTGCTCTCAATGTCATATTTTCATCCCGGGGAAGACTGGTCCACCCAGTCTGGGTCATGTGTATCATGGTCCACTAGATGGGCCACTGTGATGGGTGGTCACTTTTACCCCCTGAAAAGATGACAAGAAAGGTCCTGACAGGTGGGGAGAGACACTTACAAAGGAGGAGGGGGTAGATTCTGAACATCTTCAAACAAAGTATTTTCATGCTAGCAGAGCTCACCCATGTTGGGTTCTGGAGATGTTTAAAACAAGATTTAAATAAATAAATAAAACAAAAAAACCCCAAACAGAATTGGTTCTCAGTTAATTAATTTTTGCTATTGATTCAAGCAAGAGCTTATAGCATTTAGAAATGCATTCCTATAAAATGACACCTGGACCTCTTTCATGTGTCAAAGGGCAGCCTTTTCAAGAGAGGGTTTTGTAGAAGGAGGAAATCTGCTTCTGATTTTAGTACATCCAGAGGCATGCAGGCTTTTTGGACCAATTATTACCAGACCTTGAGATAAATCACCTCCTGCACCATTAGTACTTGAAGGATTATCGGCCTCAAAGATTTATGTGCGGATTAATTGGGCAGTGTGTATCTCAGATCGCTGTGTTTAGAACCATGGTTGTCCCGCAAATCATTTATATTAGTGCTTTATTCAAAATTCTTTGGCCTTATATAATCCTGGCGTTGCAGGGAAATCAGAAGAGCCTTTTCTTTATTTATCTGTGGTTTGGCTTCAGCCTCACCCCCACCCTTATCCCCCACCTAGAGTTTAATAGCTCTGGCTAGGGATACACAGAGCCTCTAAAAGCACAGCGGCTCCCAGCTTCCAGTGTTGCAGATTATTTTAGTTGCTTCGTCTGAACAGTGACCGAAATTTGCGTGACCTTGTACTGAAGGACAAGATGAGGTACAAGAAATACATGGCTATTCTGGAAGCAGCCGTTGGTATCACCCCTCTTATCAAAAGAGAACTTTTACCGGAGAGCAGAAGACATGTGAACCTTTGGCAGCACCCCGGGTAAGCAGAGGAGGCCAGAGGACGCTTGGTGGGTGTTTGGGAGCCCAGAAGGAATAAAGGGTCATCTCTGTCGTAAGGGTAATAAATGTTGAGTTCTTCATTGAGAACTTGGTGGATATGGCCTTTTCATACTGATTTACAAACTCAGTAATGAAATAATTGGTAATAATACTCTAAGAAAATTCCTGGCCTAACAGACACAAAAGATGATGTCTAAGCCAATTTTTACATCTAGATATTTTAATTTTGAAATTTTTTTACATAGTCTAGCAACGTAGCAATGCTTAAAGATGAAGTAAATGTGCTTTATTTTTTTTCTACAATGCAACTATTTTTCTGACTAAAGTGTATATGCAGACTGTGTTTCAGGTAAATACTTTTCTTGAAATAGCAGTTTTTATTTCACGTCTTTTTCTAAAGCCCCACTCCCTTACTCAGTTGAAGAAGGGTTTAAACGTTGTTTTCTGAATGGTTAGAGGCTTCAATCCTGACTTTTTTCTCTGAAGTCCCCTTCTTGTGTCTTTTACACATCGAGGAGAAATTTAATTCAAGGTGCTTGTGTGGTAGACAGTATTTTTAGGAACTGAATTTAATTTTTAAATGGCATGAGCCACACATTGGCACTCACCCAAGGGTCAACTCAAGGCATCTATGTAGCTACTATTTCTTTTTAAGTAGAAAGTCACTTTGCACTTATATGATTTTATTTTTTAAAATCATATAAACAATTTACATTCATTATGGAAGATTTAGAAAATAGAAAAAAATAAGCAGGAAAAAAAATCACCCGCAGTCCCATCTCCCTAAGAGAATTACTATAATTATTTAGGTCAGTGGTTGTCAATTGGGGCGGGGGACCAGCTGGAGGGACTTGCCCCCAGGGGACATTTGGCAATGTCTGGGCACATTTTTGTTACAAGGGGCAGTGAGGGGGCTTGCTGCTGGGATGTAGTGGGGAGAGGCCAGAGATGCTGCTCAACATGTTATAACGGACAGCCAGTCCCCCACAGCAAAGAATTGTGCAGCCCAAATGTCAATAGCACTGCTATTGAGATGTGATTTAGGTAGATTTTCTTCCCCTCTGTAAAAGGTAGTTTTTATTAGAAATAAATGAGGTCTTTCTTTTGGAAATTTTAGAGATGCTTTGAATGGAATCCTGAGACAGCATTATTATTATTATTACTATTATTATAATTTTTTTTCTGTATCCTCATTTTTATTGGTAAGTATGATTTGCTGCATTATACAACTCTGTTGTGAAACTGATTAAAAAAATCGTTTAAGTATACTTTCAGTTCTGGCATACCCTAGGAAATAGTATCCTATGGACCAAAGGTTGACAAAATTTTTCTGTAAAGAGCCTTTATAGGCTTTGCGGGGCATACATAAACAAATAGGCTTGACTATGTTCCAATAAAACTTAATTTACAAAAACAGACAGCAGGAATGGATTTGTCCAGTGTATCATAATTTGCCAAACCCTGCTTTGGACTATACTACTGTTATTATTTTACTATTCTCTTGAAAAGTAAAAGGAGATGTTTCTATGTGTGGAGGGGGCAAGGGGCATATGGTGACTCTGGGACAGTCCATGTGGGTTAATGTTCTTTTAGGGGTTTATGGAAAACCTGTTGTAATGACCAAATTGTGATTCTTCAAGGAGCCCCTAGGGATTGGACATACTGTAACCTGGACATATGCCCTAAAATGATGGAAGTTTAGAGCTGGAGAAACCTTTCGTCAGGGATGGTAAACAGGTTGCATATGGCACACCAAAGCCAGTGTTAAGGTAGGGAGGACCCCAAGGCCAAGTTTGAGCTTAGCAAGAAAGGAATATAGTGATTGATGAGGGATGTTTATTCTGGACATATAGTTGGAGAACTGGGGGAGCTGTGACACGCGGTTTATATATTTACCATTCCTTAATCCTCGTTTAGTCTTCAAATTTTGTAAGTGTGCAACTCAGCCTCATTTGAGTCATGATTGAGGGTGTGGCCTTCAAACAACTGGATGTTCTTAGTTTCTGGCTCAGGGTCATTCATTGAGGGATCCACCCTAAACAAACTCAGATGGTTCAGTTGTGTGAATTGATTGCCAAATTATTCATTTCTTTTTGGAGATAACCTTATCCAGCAATTGGAATGAGCGAGTTCCCTAAGTAGAGCCATCTCTGCTTTGCTCCATTTCCCTAAGTCAAGCCAAACAGAAGTTCAGTTATTCATTCCAGTATGATCCTTAGTAAGGAAGGTGAATGTTTGGTTGGTTGTTTGGTTTAAGAGAACATTCTCTTAAGCCTGATGAAGTAGCATTGCATCATAGGACAAGAAGATCTTCCTTATAACTGTAATACTTTGAATACTTTGAATACACGTGTTTTGCTGATCTCCATTTTTTGTTTGCTACTCCCTTGTCACCTGACACAGTCTTCCTTTGGACATGCTGATATCTTCACCGAGCTTGTAGTAAGCTCTCCTTTCTGGGTATGCTAGGAGGGGTTATCTTCTACTGATGAATTTTATTAATTCTACATCTTTCAGAGGCATCTTGATGTCTTATTTCCCAAGGGGTAATATACATATGAATCACTTTGTTAAAAATGCAGATTTGAACTTTAGGTATGGTGGGGCCCGAGCGTCTGCATTCCCCCCCCCCACCCCCACCCCCGAGTCTGCATTTTAATAAGCTTCCAGGTGATACCAGCAGCCCAGCTAATGCTCAATGGATGTGACGCTAACAGTTCAGTTCATGAATCACGCTTTGAGGAGTGAGTATCTAGAGAAGTGCTTTTCATCAGCCTACTTGCTTCCTCTTGACATTGAACTTTCTGATCTTCCTAAGGACTTTGAGTCCCAATACCTTGCCTCCCTGCATTTGTTAGACACCTCAGTGGTAGAGATCTCAGTGGTAAGAAGTTAGGTGGTTGGCTGTGCTTCTGCGGTGGGAAATCTGCCCATGAGCGTTCTGCCCAGAGATTTCTGTTGGGCTGGGGGACTAAATAGTGAGGCTGGTATTTCGTCTAAAGAATTCTGTCCCTTTCATTCTTTTCGGGAAGTATTCCAATCACTGCAATATACAGTAAGTCCCTCACTTCATGTCTGTGATAGATTTTTGGAAACTGCGGCTTTAAGTGAAACGACGTATGACAAAACCAACTTTACCATAGGCTAATTGATATAAACAAGAGTTAAGTTCCTATAGCATATTTCTGGTCATAAAAACACCACCAAACTTCTAAATAAAGACCTAAAAACACTTCTAATACTAAACATCAAAATAAATGTGAGCTGTACATACTTTTAAGAAAGATTTAGATAAACAAGGCAATTTTTTCCCAACCTGCTTCTTCTAGAAAGTTACGGGTCATGGGTGGTGGAGCCTCTCCTGGTCCCTCAGGGCGCAAGATGGGACCCATCCTGTACAGGGCATCCTTTCATCACAGGGCCACTCACACCCACACACCACACTCACTCAACCTGGGACAAAGTAGACACGACAGTTCACATCTGTGGGATGTGGGAGGAAATGGGTGGAAACCAGAGTCCCCAGAAAAAACCTATGCAGACATGGTGAGGACGTGCAGACTCCACAAAGAGAGAGTGGCCCCGGCTGGGAATTGATTTTTTTTCTTCTCTTATCAACGTTATAATGAATTGGCATTGAAAGCAATGACATTGTTCGAGGACCTGCTGTACTTGTAATATGCCTAGTATTCAAGAGCAGCTGCTTTTTCATTTTAAAACATAATCGGAAGTCAGGTCATGATTCCATTTTCAAAACCTGGAATTTGTTCACCGCTAACCTCCTCCTGACCTTTTAGTACTTTTCCTTGCTGTCTGCAAGCAGGACTTCTACTCTGCAAACTGTACACTCACATGGGCCTGTAAAGTCACAGGCCCAAATCACCAGCTACCAATCAATTGGTTGAATGTTGCAAGTTCATAGAAGCACAAATTAGAGGATTTATACATGTGCATATTTACCCCACTGCCTGGCACACAGCAGGTGCTCAGTAAATATTTGCACATGCTTTTTTACTCTATTTCAGCATAGTCATAAATGAAGAAAAACATATAAAAAAGGAACTGACACCCAAACATACAAATACTGAGCTGCCTATGGATTTTCCTTGTAAAATTTTGTAAAGTTTTCCAGCTCTCACTCATGCTACCTGACAATAATTTGACATATATATCTGTCGCTACTATTGAGAACCAGGAATATAATTGAGTTCTTTTTGCCAAATTTTTTCTTAACTGAAAGGTGGCCTTAGTCGATAATGGCGTACACTAGATATGGCTGATTGTTATTGGTAGTTCCCATATATATGTCAAAAAACATCAGGAATATTATAAAAGAACATTAAAATCAGGGTGTCATAGAAATACAGAAAACTGATTTAATGAAAAGACAAGCCAGTTTAATAAAAGAAGCAAGCTCTCTTTGGAGCTGATACCTATAGAAAAATTTCATATTAAGGCCCAAAGCATAACCAAGCCCCATCTAGATTTGTTGGCCATTTGCTTATCTTTGGAAGTAATAATAGAAACCATGTATGGGCTGGGCTCTAATTCTGTTGCTTGCTTTGTAGGGTGTCCAGATGGCCTTGCATTAGCCAGTGCCTATATTTCCTGCTGATCCTTGGAGAAGGGAAATGTGTCCCTTGCCTGTACAAATAAAATCAACACCATCTTTTATTTTTCTTTTATTGTGTAGGGAGTGTTTTGCACACATACCACAATATCACTTTGTCTTGCAAACAGAAGAGTATGTCCAGAACTGGTGAGAAGCCACATTCTTCCTCCCACTGGAAGAGTTCTCTGTGACTGCCCTGTTCGCAGCTGCTGGGTCCCAGGCACGGCCCCGAAGTGAGCTTGTCTCCTTGTGATGTTTGAAAGGCACATACAGGATTAATAAAAATGTTAAAAATCTTCCTTGGATTTTCTTAGGATGAGGGGTAAAAAGGAAAAGTATTTGCCATCTTTTTTGCTTGTGGGCAACCCACACATGTAAAAATAAAGCTGAGGGCCTGGCTGAGTGGTGTGTTGGTTCAGAGCTGGCTTGGGACGGATGCCAGAGGACCCCGGTTCGGATCCCACATATGAGGGCCAGTGACACTGCCCTCTACAGCTAAGATGCTGAACAACAGCTCAACTTGGAGCTGGGCTGCTGTGGTTCGCTGTCAATGGCGTAGGCTGCAGTCCCCTGCTGCGGTGGGCTGCCATAAGCTACCATGTGTAGCCGGTGGCCACCGTGAGTGGCCAGCAGCTGCCGTGAGCGGCCGTCCAGAGACCGGGGACTGATCTGCTTCGCCCAGGAAGAGTGCAATGATGGTGCCAGCTTGGGCCAGTGAAGCAATATCCTCCAGAACTAGACTGAAGAACAAAATAACAGCAACTTGTCTGTTCCCCTCCCCCAATTCCCCAATAAAATCTTTAAAAAAAAAAGTTTTCTATAAATATTTTCCCACTTGCTAAATTGTGTTGTTGTTGGTTTTTAACCTGAAAAGTGAATTTCTTATAAGATCTCGTTCCTCGGGGTGACCTTCAGGTGAATCAATGATGCCAAACTTTACATGGTTACTCATTTTCTCCAATTTTTGAAGACTGAAAATATTAGGGGCAGCAAATTCATTCCTAAAAATAGATCTGAGAAAAATGAAAATTATGTCCATGTAATCACTTGTGTGTGTGTGTTCATTATAGCCAAACAGTGGAAACAACCCGAATGTCCATCAGCTGATGGAGAGATAAATAAATATGGTACGATATATCTATACAGTGGAATATTATCTGGCCATAAAAAAGAATGAAGTTCTGACACATGTTACAACATGGATGAGACTTGAACATGTTACGATAAGTGAAAGAAGCCAGCTACAAAAAGGCTACATAGTGTATGAGTTCATTTATATGAAATCCCCAGAACAGGTCAATCTATAGGGACAAAAATTAGGTTTGTGGTTGCCTAGGACCAGGATGTGATGTGGGGAGGGAATTGGTGGATGGCAGGTGATATCTAATGGGTGCAGGGTTTCTTTTTTGAAATAATGAAAATGCTCTAAAGTGGATTGTGGTAATGGTTATACAACTGTGAGTATACTAAAAACTATACAATACATGGGTGAATTGTACAGTAGGTGAACTTCAGTGCCTTTCCCAAGATCTCACCATGCTGAGAATGACTGTTGGATTTTTAACAACACTCTCTTTCTCTTTCAGGGTGCAGAATACCACATTATTATCATCCCCCTGTGAGTGGGATTGGCACCCCGGCTATACCTCCTGGCACAAGTATTCCGCAAAACACAGACTTGTGCCAGTGGACAGCCTGCTTTACCAGGTACTTGGTTTTTTTTTGGTCTCGCATCAAACTCGTTACTGTTTCTCCTCCACCAAAAGTTTGAAGTTTGATATAAATTAGTTCACATCCTTGAGGTCATCAAGACCATCATTTTCACTGTAGCTAACAGAGAAATTGTTTACTATCAAAGAAAATTTTATTGTAACATCCTATTTACCAAAGAACAGACACATCTTACCTGTATTTATGGTCGGAATTGCTATGTATTACTTTGGGTGAATGCTAATTGAGGGTCTTTCTGGCTAAAGCGTGTGTGAGTCCAACCCCCATGGTTCAGAATAAATGCCTAGCAAGGTATTTTGGTGTCTGTGGTTATAGGTCATTATGGTAGGTGACTTTTTCCATTATCTTTGAGGTAACAATTATATAAAAGACACCAGTCACACACTGGCTTCTAAAGATTAATTATGTACAAGCTTTTAGCTAAAGATTAAGAGCGAGTATTATCTATTTACTGATTCAGTTTTAAGTCCGAATTAAATGAGATTTACAAGGCATTAAATTTTATTTTGACAGATGCTGGGATGTATTTGTTCTTAGTTACACTTTAACCCCTGATTATAGCCCAGTGCATGGCTGGCTGGAATGGGGTTGGAATTTTGTTTTCCATTCGCTTGTTTCATAATTCCTGTCTGTTTAGGCTCCTGCTACGTGTCAGAGCTGGAGTTCAGAGGAGTGTGACTAGCACACAGCGGTTCAAATCCCACTGCTCCTGCCTTCTAACTGTGTGTGATCTCGGGCACATGTCTGAATGTCTCTGAGCCCTAGGTTCTTCATCTGTAAATAGGATTGTTAATATGAAGCTAAATGGGTTAACATATAGCAAGCACTGGGCACATACGAAGGACTTCCTTGGAGCCCGGTTGTTTAAATAGGGACACTTGTAAGGGAAGTTCTCAGTTTTCACTGATCCAACAGGGCTGGGAATGGATTTTTGTTCTTCTCTATGGAGCTCTTAAAGGTTCTAAACATAAGAACACAGATACTTGCCCAGGTTCCAGAAGTGGTTTTTCTAAAAGTGGATTGAGTCAAATGAGTTAAAGGGACATCATGGAGTCTAGTAAAGGGAGCTTGGGGCTGGCATCGTCTGCTGGAGGGAAGGCTTTTTCTGATTCAAGCAAAGCCTCTTCTGACAAATATCTCCCTGGTTCTGGTTTCCTGTCCTAGTGACCACACGCCCTTCAATACCAGTTTGGTTTCCCAAATCAGCACCTTATCCAAAAGCTCTTTCATATGTGTAAACACGTAAGGGTGTCTTTCTAGGATGAATTAGCCTCAGGCAAGTTGGGTGGTAAGGATTTTTCTTACGGTGTCCCACATCACCCGAGTTTCAGATCCAACAAACATTTATTAAGAGCTTTTTATTTGCCAGGCACAGGGCAAGGTGCTTTCACTCATATTGTTTATCCTTGGAACAATCCTGAGAGGTAGGTATTATCAGCTTTCTTGTGCAAATAAGGAAACTGAGATTCAAAGATTTTTAAGTGATTTCCCCAAGATTGCACAGCCCCTGACTCCCAAGTTCAGGGAGATTCCTATAATAACAGCTGGTTTCTATACTCACTCTGTAGAGCTTGCAGATTGAACTCCTAAACTCAGATAGTAAACAGGTTTTTCTCAAGGGCCAGTTCTGATCATTAGGTAGTGGCTTTCTGGACTTAAGGATTCATAGGTACTGTCCAAGTTTGTTGAACAAGAATGCTGGGACCCATTAACAATGTCTGGCATGGGTAGAGGAGGGTGCCTGTAGAACCTGCCCTCAGCCTGAGGTTTTGATCATCATCAGCCTCTACCTTTTCTGCCCTTTACAGTCTTGGAGTCTGGAGAGAGCTGCCTGATGCTTCTTTCTTGATACATTTTTTTTTTTTAAATTGGGGAATTGGGGAATGGGAACAGTCAAGCTGTTGTCCTTCAGTCTTAGTTGTGGAGGGCACAACTACTAGCTCAGCTCCAAGTCCAGTCACCATCCAGCTGCCTATTGGCAGCTTGTGGCCCACTCAGCTCAAGGTGCCATGTTCAGTCTTAGTTGCAGGTGGGCATAGCCCACCATCCCATGTGGGAGTTGAACCGGAAACCTTGTTGTTGGGAGCACATACTGTCACCAGCTGAGCCATCCTGCCACCTATTGGCAGCTCAGCGGCAGCTCAGCTCGGTTGCAGCTCACTGGCCCATGTGGGAATCAAACCAGCGACCCTGTTGTTCAGAGCTCTCGCTCTTAACCAACTTTAGCCACTCAGCCGGCCCCTCTTTCTTGATACTGTAAGGGGCTTTGATGATCACTTTTCCGACATAGCAAAATCATCTTCCACTCTTTGCCTGCAGGAAAGATGCTAAGAGTCTGGGCAGAGCCTCACTTCCTAGACATGGAGTCTCATCGTTAGGTAATTTAGATACCTTAGCGTCATCACAGACTCACCCCATAACACGGGCTTAGAAAAATGAATTGAAAGTGAAAGCTTAAAACTTTTACTTCTGTGTACCTGGGAGCCACTTTGCTAGGGGCTCCTCAGTCTATAGGAATACTTGGGGAGCTCACACTAGCAGCCAAAGCTTCTCATTGAATTGGATAGACTCAGAGCAGTAGTTCTCAAACTTTATCCCCATCAGAATCACCAGGAGAACTTGTTAAACAGAGTCCTGGGTCCTACCCCCCAGAATTTCTGCTTCAGTCGGTCTGGGGTGAGGTCCAGGAATCTGCACTTCTGACAAATCCCCAACCAGGCTGATATCTCCGGTTTCCGGACCACACTCTGAGAACCACTAGCTTGGAAAGTACTTCTAACAGTTGCTTCAGAGCATGGGCTTATTTATAGATGGTGTTTGTGGCGGGTTTTTTCCCTACCTGTGGTGAAGGAATTCTTCCTCAAACATTTAATGAGCATCTCACACAGCACGGCCTGAGGGAAATCTAGAGGAATATACTCATATAAAGACTTGTCCTGGGGCACATGGGTGGGACTCTAATTTGGAATCAGTAATGGCATTGCTGTGTGAAAAGGGCCGCACTCACCCCTTACAGTCCATGTGAGCTGAAGGCCTGAGGCCATGACTGAGGGGAGGCCTCCTGGGGGAGGTGATATTTGAGAGGAAACTTGAGGATGAAAAGTTGTTGGCCAGGTGTGAAAAGAGGGGAGAAGAAAGCCTGGGGAGCAGAGACAAAGCTGCTGCCGCTGTGTTAGGCTGGAAGAAAAGTGACGGTATTTGTGGTGAGAATCCCACTGTAATTCCAGTATAAAGTGAAGGGTCAACCTATAGTAGTAATAACAGTGAAAGCTTTATGTCTGTTTGGGTGCTATGATGGTATGGTTGGCACTGCACTAAATGTTTTACCTGAGTTTAATTCTCATACCCACCTTTTGAGGTTTAGGTCCAAGTATCATCCCAATTTGTATTCATTTCCTAGGGCTGCAGTGAAAAAGCACTTCAAACTAAGTGGCTTAAACAATAGAAATTTATTGTCTCCCAGTTCTGGAGGCTGGAAGTCTGAGATCAAGCTGTTGGCAGGGTGGCTTCCTTCCCAGGGCTGAGGGAAAGATCTGTTCGGGCTTCTCTCCGTGACTCGTAGATGGCCATCTTAGCCCTGTGTGTCTGTCTTTGTGTCTACATTTCCCATGTTTATAATGGATTAGAGCCCACCCTAAAGACCTCACTTTAACTTGGTTACCTCTGTAAAGGCTCTATCTCTAAATAAGGTCACATTCTGAGGTCCTGGGGGTTAGGACTTCAACATATGAGTTTTGAGGAGACACGGTACTACCCATAACATCATGTTACAGATGAAGAAATGGAAGCTTAGAGAGTTTAGATAAGCTGCCCCAAGCCACACAGCCATTAAGCTGAACCATGTAAACGGGCCATTTCTATAAGCAAAAACAGTCCAACAGCGGCACTGTCATAGGTTAAACCTAAGAAGTAGCAGAACTGGCACTTGCGGAAACTCAGTTCTGACATCATAGTTGTGCTCTTTCACCCATTGCTTTACTGGCTTCTAGCGTTCTCTTTGTTTTCCTTGTGTGTCCTCATGGTTTACTGAGAAAAGCAGTGCTGGGAGATCAGGGTATCAGGCTGCTAGCCTGTTAGTTTCTGGTTGATGATTTTCTGAACAAGATACCTTATATTTCAGTTTTCTGTCTTCCCTATTTAAGAAGACCATGGGAAATGGTTAGAGTATTATGAAACATTTAACATTTATGAAAGAAATGGGCTGTTTCAAGATGATGGGTGCTGTTTTGCTATGAAAATGTTATATACCTGTAACACAGATTACCTGGGGATAGCTGTCCTGTTCTTATTTTCCTTCTCAAAACAGCCTAAATGTTTGTAAACAATGTGTTAGCCCTTATACTTGTGTTATAAGTGCATTTACTTGGAATTTTCTCAGCATTCAGAGATTCAAGCTACTTAATTTCCAGCCATTGGGATTTCAGACAAGTGGTTTTGTCAGGACCCACATAATAATTCCACATTTTCCTCTCTAAGTATTTAAAATGAAAGAGCATTGCTCCAGATACTTGCCTACAAAAGACTTTGTCATTCTAGCAATTCCAGCAAACTTTTATTGTGAGACATTGGTATACCATTTAAGTGGAAGAAAAAAATAAGATGGGTTTATTCTTACTTTCAAATGTTTTAGTTATAGTCTAACATGTTTTCCAAACAAAAATTAGAGTGCATGGTTTACTCCTGAAATCAACAAGACAAATTGTTTGCCACCTGGCCTATCTTTGGAAATCTGAGATGTCTGGACATTTTTAAGTATAGTACACAGATCATTAATACTCAAAAGCTAGCTTCTGAAACATAAATGTAATAATTATACTCCTGCACATTTAAGAGAATCCAAAGCCTAAGAATTAAAAGATGACTAGGTGATTGCAAACCCAGAGCCCTCTCATTTTTACTTTTCACAGCTTGTTTTTCTTACCCACCCCTTGCCCTTCTCTCCAGCACTTTCTCCTCCACCTATTCCAGCCACTTCC